GTCAATCGATAAAAATCGATATCGATTTTGCCGATCGATAAATCGATAACAATCGATACCGCTGATTTGATTGATATCGATTGTATCTATCAATCGTTAAAAATCGAACTCACACTAAATTTTTTTATCGATTTTTATCGATTGATTGATTATATACATATCGATTTTTTAAATTTATGTTCTTGAACAATTTCTATCGATGATCGTACTAGGGTCGTGTGGCTACGGATTTACACCACCGGCAATTACTCTTTCGTAACCATAGCTTGACACTAACTAGGAGTTTGTTACAGTGATCAGTGAACAGACAGCAAAAGTACTTGGATAATTAGCTGCCTGAATTACATATAATTACTTGTGAATTAATAGTTATAAAATCTATTGCACTATCATCGATATTTTCGAATACTTTCCGTGAAATAAAGCTGATTTTATGATTGTACTCATTATTGGATCGAATTAAAGCTGTCAAATCTTGATCGATAAAAATCGATAAAAATCGAACTCACACCAATTTTTTTCATCGATTTTAAACGATTTCCCATAACAATCGATACAAATCAGCTGATTTCTATCGAATTTTATCGATATCGATTTTTATCGATTGACTACTCCGGGCTTTAATATATGCAGCGTGAATAGCAGTCTATTATTGAAGAAACATCATTATAAGTAGTTGAAACGTACTTTATTTTGTATCAGAAAACTTTGAACTCAAAGTGAAACATATTTTAACTACTTACGAGTGAAATGTTATTTAACATTGGTGTCTGTTCATATTGTCCTAAGTAAACTCTGAGCCATGAGTGTGTCTTATGTAGAAAACGAGGAAACCTGAAAGAGGCAGTTGACATTCTATTCTTTGCTTTCTTCATGAGAAAAAATGAACTCATGAATGATTGGCACCTAAAAATATGATATAGATTGCTTATTTTATAAATATAAAAAATCTCCATAAAAAAGAACCTCAAAGTAAAAATAGAGTGATTATTAGTGAATTGTTGACTAAGTTTTTTGTCATTCAAGCACTCGAACTAGACGTTGTCGAGTTCCTGAGTTTTTACTAGTAATTTAGAAGTTTCAAGGATCTCTCGTTCGTAAAACCACAAGTTTTATCTGCGTCTGTAATTTTGTTCTTTATTTACTTGAAGAAATAGCATCAGGTACTTGAGTAAGACAATGTCAATCTTGAATAACTCACCTTAAGAGAGCTTCATTCGTTATTTATGATCTGAAATCAATCAACATTTGCTTGATTCGTGAGATTCGTTCAAGGAACAAAAATTGAAAAATTCACAAATTATTATGCTTTGCTGCACTCCCCGAAACTTCGAGACTTTCTCCTCGTAGTAGAATTTTTAAGTGAAGCTAAGAACTACGCCTCCTTGTACCATTGGCTAATGCCATCCACGTGATAAGAAAGCCGAATGTGAATCGATACGATAGAAAATAATGACAGCTGATTGACAGCTTCACAGAATACTATGGGTTACCCAAACTGATCTTAGTAGCGTTTGAAAAATGAGTCTCAATCGAGTGGAAATCGAGCGACCATTGTTTTGATTTAAAAACAAGCTTGAATGATGCTGTCTCAGCTCAGTATTTTTTACATGTGCTGTTTATGGGTTCCTTCAAAAACCTTTCAAAATTTTTCTCAGGTAATTCCTTTAACACCTTTTCTCGTCAAATTGAATAAAGTTTCTCTTGTGTACTCATGACGTCACTACAATCTGACCAATCAGGACTGAATCGCATGCTAAAATATTTATGATCTTGTTGCTTGTCTCTGAAGGGGGTTTAGGCGGGGGCCCTCCACCAACGGCAGTTTCCAAAGCGGTATGATTTACAAAGAAATGTATGGTTGAGTGCCAAGACTTGCCACACGACCATACATTTCTTTGTAAATCATACTGCTTTCAAAAACATTTTACTCCCAAAATATTGAACATATTACTTTCAAATTTTCAATAGTTACTAAATAAGACATTCTCTTTCGGTTTGCTTGTAGCTCGAAAATTTTATGCTGATGAGGAAAAAACGTAAACAAAGATCGGCTTATAGCTTTGTGTTTTCCGACAAAAACAATCGCTAGAGGGCGCGTGTGATTGAGAATGGCTGTAATATGTTTAGCTAGCCAAAATACGGAATGTCACTTTATGCAAAAGACATTGTCCATTGAGAAAAGGTGAATTAATTAAAAAGTTTGACTATTAAAACCAGAACTTTCTTTCATATTTTGCACCTTGAATTTTCGCTCCTCCTCAACGTTCAGGTCCCCAACAGACAATAGAAATACAATCACAATATCGGCCAAGTACAAAAGGCGAATTAAACTTAGTATTTGAGAATTCAAATTAATAAAAAAGAGATTATTTTTACCTCCTTGAAGGGCAGTGAAAGTCTATAGGGCGTCTTGTTTCTTGGTCAGTATTTTACAATTCTATATCATATTAAACTCTTCTTCTTGAACTGTGTTGTAAAGCTAAGCTATGAAGGAAGTTTTAAAAGCACTAGACTAGCTTAAAAGATTCTCAACCATATTTCTCGTCAACCATCAGTACATTATTCTTTTCTTAACACATATGTAATACCGTTTTTCAGAACTATATACAACTTGAATACGGCTAAATTCATGTTTATGTTATAGGGAATCAAATATACTAACACGTATGCAATACCGTTTTTCAGAACCATATACAACTTGAAGATACAATTAAATGTGAATCGCAAAACGTGAATTTCACTCCCTTTAATTCATCTAATAATCCCCAAAGACTCTAGATCTCAGGCAACGGTGACATGAATAATCGAAATGCACTTTTTTCTGAGTGTGTATCAGGATCGACTCTGAAACATCGCGTGAGTGGGAAACATACGTTACTGACTTACAGCACGTACACGGTACGACATGCAGTAACATTGAAATGGTTTCCCATAAGAATGTTTATCGTATGAGTAGGAAACATACGGTACTGACTTACAGTACGTACACGGTACAACATGCCGTAACATTGAAATGGCTTCCCATAAGAATGGTTATCGTATGAGTGGGAAACATACGGTACTGACTTAAAGCACGTACACGGTACGACATGCCGTAACATTGAAATGGCTTCCCATAAGAATGGTTATCGTATGAGTGGGAAACGTACGGTACTGACTTACAGCACGTACACGGTACGACATGCCATAACATTGAAATGAGGTACCTGTATTAAGTGGACACCTTCAGGACCTTGCCTAGTGCCCACTTCATAGAGGTTTGTTTTACAGTAAATACAGTGGTACCTCTATTAAGTGGACACCTTCAGGACCTTGCCTGGTGTCCACTTCATAGAGGTTTGTTTTACAGTAAATACAGTGGTACGTCTATTAAGTGGACACCTTCAGGACCTTGCCTGGTGTCCACTTCATAGAGGTTTGTTTTACTGTAAATACAGTGGTACCTCTATTAAGTGGACACCTTCAGGACCTTGCCTGGTGCCCACTTCATAGAGGTTTGTTTTACAGTAAATACAGAGGTACCTCTATTAAGTGGACACCTTCAGGACCTTGCCTGGTGTCCACTTCATAGAGGTTTGTTTTACAGTAAATACAGAGGTACCTGTATGAAGTGGACACCTTCAGGACCTTGCCTGGTGCCCACTTCATAGAAATTTGCAGCTTACTCAAGCTGGTATTGAAAACTCTCAACCCCAACAGCTACAGGTATGAATTTCATTGATTCCTTACTATTAATCATTGTCTCAGCAGTAAATCTGTACTTGTCCCACCACTGATCTTTCTTCTTTATCTCATCTTGTTTCCTAACGACAAAATCAAGCATCGTGAGTAATTAAAAGTACCGAATAGAAAACAAAGCAAAAACAAACCAAAAGCAATAATATTATTGTGTAGTTCCAGAAGATATCTATACCCCACCACAGAGGGAATTTGTAAAAGGATCCCCTACCCCCAGGAACTTCCAATTTTCTTCCACAAAAACTCTGTAATTTTGTTCTTTTTCTGACCCCACTGACCCCTATTACTTAGCTTTTTCTCTGTTAAAGGTAATGTTTGAGAAGAAACAGAAACAAGAAAGCTTATTCCTAGGAAAAGGGAAACATGGTCTGGGCCAGGTTGTATGAAGGGTGGATAGTGCTAAGCTTATCCACTGGATAAATTTATTTAAGGGAAAACAGTATTAACTTATCTACTGGAAAAAAATTAACCATCCGATATACAGTGTAGCGCTATCCACCCTTTGTACAACCGGGCCCTGAAGTGTAAAAACACTGTACACAAAGTAAAGAAGTCATTAAGTTTCATTCTCTTGGGAATAAGATTGTTTGTTTGAGTTGCATACATTATCATGTGTCGTCTTCTCAAGCACAATAGACTACTTTAACGATGCGGCAACTATCTTGATTTGCAAGGCATCATGGGTGGCCCAGGGGACAAAACAAAACAAATATGTTGAAATGACAGCCGCACAATATTTGAGAACATTTCCTCAGTTATGGAACTTTTCATTTCTTTTAATTTCTCTTGTCAAGTTGTCTTGTTGTGAACTGTAAATGTCAATAGCCCTCTTCTGAGATATGCTTTGCTTGTCACGCACAAAGGTTTCAGTATGAGGCTATTTGCTAAATTAAATCTATTCTTACCGCCTGTCACGAGTGACTGAGCATTTAGCACGTAGCCTCATACTGAAACCTTTGTGCGTGACAAGCGAAGCATATCTTGGTAGTGGGCTATGGACACTATCATTATAACAAAGCTTTGTATATTTGCCCTCTGAATGACCCATACTATGTAATGCGCGGCGGTCAGCTGGACAATAGCTCCCAGTGGTGTGTGAGAAGTAATGCCGTCTGATTCAAGATGGCCACTGCCTCATAGAAGCAGTCCATTGGCAAACAAAAAATGATACTCTAGGGAATGACATGTGGTCTAAAATGGAAAAAAACATTAAAATCAAACATAATAAAAGATTGTCTTGACATATATATCCAATTCAATCATAATAAAATTACCTTTTCAGTTTTCCATGTAATTGATCATATTTCTCTTTCAAGTCTTTTAAAGTCTTAGTCAAACTGCAATAGTATGGAATAAAGCCATTTATTTATCATTCTATGTTACATACTTCAATGGTATCTGGTATAAAGTGAGTATTTTATTTTATTTTGAGACTTGATCTTAAATCCTTCCTATCGTGTCAGGATTGACCAAAAWTCATTCTAAACTCCTTTACAAATGGAGATAACTAGCTAAAAACTAGTATGAAAGAAAATGTGTGTATGTGCTGTGTGCAGTTACAAAGCACACTGGGGTTGGCAGAACACAAGAGAGTGCTTCTTGACACTTCT